AACGGGAATAATTTCCATTAAGCATTAGATATAGAGGACTGGATAAGACCTGAAGGTCACCCAGTTTCTCTGTTTTACGTTAGCCCAGGCCATAGTCATCAAGCAAAAATGAGTAATGAAAAGGTGTCTCCTCCAGCAAACATGGTTTGGTCTGGCAGGAATACGTGAGTTAATTCCCAGAAGCTGTGTGCTGCATTGGTTAGAGTGTTCAACTATGCTGGAGGGGACGGGACTTTTGTCAGTCCAAGGGTCAAATTCGCAAATGGGCAGCTTTCTGAGGTCCACATGCCACACCCAGCCTGGACCTTAACCTCTGTTGCTTGGCCCCTCTCCTTTATTTGTCCCATTAACATCTTTTGCTGCTCCAGTTCAACCACCATCCAGATATTTTTTCTCCCTTGCCGCCCCTTATGATTCAAACTGCCTCTGGTTGAGGCTAATCTGACTTTCTTAGGGCCCGGGACCACTAGGGTGTTGCTATTTATGGACCTTGAGGCTCTCCGTGGGGCATACCGGGAGAGGCGGTCCGTTGGTACGAGGGTCCTAGGCCGTGAAGGCTTTCCGTGACTTTCTGTGACCAATAACCCCAATGGATTTGCTCTACCTCCGAAGCTGGAGGCAGCATCCTTCTGAATATTGGTTGCTGGGACCTGCAGTGGGGCGGGAGAGGGCTCTTGTGCTCAGATCGTACTTTGGGGTTCCCATAGACATCTGGTTGGCCTCTATGAGAACAGTAAGCTGGGCTACATGGGCCATGGGCCTGATCCAGTGGTTCTTATGTACTGATTCCAGATGAGAAAGGTAAAGGAGCCCTGGACAGTTAAGTCCAGTCAAAGGCAAGGTGCAGTGCTCATCTCACTTTCAGGCCGAGGGAGCCAGCATTTGTCCACAGACAGGTTTCCGGGTCATGTGGCCAGCAGGACTAAACTGCTTCTGGTGCAACGGAACACCGTGACAGAAACCAGAGCGCACGGAAAAGTCGTTTGCCTGTACCTCCAGACGAGAACAGGGGTGATGGTAGAGAGAGGACCAGATGCTTCAAAAGGTGTTTTTCATTTCTCTATCAGGGATGTCAGGGTGGGCATCAGGAACATGTCAGCAATAACTCACAAGGTGTCAGTGAACCTAACTCTTTATTCAAAGAGTGCCTAGTGAGCACTGCAGCTCTTCCCAGTAGGTCTTGCCCCAACGAGTCAGTTGCAAGGACTAAAGGTCCCTGCCTTCCCAGAGCTCTCTAAGTCTCCTCCCCCTGAGGGTTCTTCCCAAGCAATCTGAGACTCTGTCATCTTGCCTGTCTCTACTCCACCGTCTTCAGACCTCTGAGGAGACCAGTGGGGCAGAAGATCTGGTCACAACAAGAGAGGGAGGACCCCCCCCCCGGCTTCTTCAGCCACCTGCCTCATCTCTGCCTCGTAGCCCCCTCCTCTCCAACCTCCAGTCTCTTGACCTCTCTCTGCCACAGTCTCTTCCTGCTCAGTAAACCCTGTTATCTCTTCAGCTTCCAACACCTCCTCCCAGGCTTCTTCCTCTGACCACTCAGCAATGAGCTCTGAGCCTTCTTTCCTTGGGAGTTCCTCAGCTGGTGCCTCCCACCATTCCTCTGCATTCGGCCAATCTGTGACAGGGGACCCTTTCAAATTCCACTTTTCTGTCTGCCACGAAGACATTCCTGTCTACTCACCGCAGAAGATTCCTGGGGCAAATTTGCTTCATGCTAGCCAGGGCTGTTGAGCCGCTCTCTCTCTGTTGAACTGTGTGAGCTGAGCGCATAAGATTCTGCATTTCCTGATATAATGGCAACGTGGCTTGGGTCCTTTTGTTTCAGTCCCTTTCCACTGCTGTCACACACTGAAAGGACATTGAGCTGCAATGCACTATGGCCCTGAGGTCTCTCTTCTTATAAACTTCAGAGGAAACCCAAGGTTCTCCAGAATATAATCCAAAATTAATAAGTTTAATACATGGGTAGGCAAACCAAGGCCCGGGGGCTGGATCCGGCCCATTCACCTTCTAAATCCGGCCCACAGATGGTCCAGGAATCAGCGTGTTTTTACATGAGTAGAATGTGTGCTTTTATTTAAAATGCATTTCTGGGTTATTTGTGGGGCCTTCCTGGTGTTATTACATGAGCAGAATGTGTGCTTTTATTTGAAATGCATTTCTGGGTTATTTGTGGGGCATAGGAATTCGTTCATTCCCCCCCCAAAAAAAAAATAGTCTGGCCCCCCACAAAGTCTGAGGGACAGTGAACTGGCCCCCTGCTGAAAAAGTTTGCTGGCCCCTGGTTTAATACATGGTGGTTTGTAGCATTTTAAGACTGTTGTTAGATCCCTTTCATTGTATGCTGTTTTCACTTGCAGCCAAGTGAGCATTTTCAGCAGTCTTCAGTCTTTATCTTTTGTGAACAGCCATTAGATCCACAGCTTTTAGGTCCACTGGGAAAATGCTGTTAGGCATAAATGTAGCGCATTAGTGCTTCTGGAAGCATCGCTTTCGAAAACCGTTTTCGCAAGTCAGGCAACTGCTTGTGCATCACGCGGCTCAGATTTTCCTTTCCTTTGCAACAGCAGCCGGCAGTTCTCATTCAACCTTAAAATAAAAGGAACAGCACAGCTCGAAAGAAGCAGAACACCAAACCACTTCTCTGCAAAGAAAGGCTCTAAAGGGTTGGAGACCCTCTCATTCTGGAAAGATGCAACTGAGAAAGGAGGAAGCAGGCCGGCTGGAAAGGAGCTTCGCAGCAAGATCTCCAAATACTCTCCTTGTGAATTGCTGTTTTCCTTGAGATCTGTGACTTTCCACATGGTTGGTCCAAGAAGAGCCCATTGACTTTTCTTTTTAATAAAGTTTGGGTGTCTGTTCCTTTTCTCCTGGGAGTTGCACCCCAGCATCTTTCAGAGGCAGTGTAAGAAGTTTTTAATTGAGTCCGGCCTTTCATGGCATGTGACTCTCGTTTGCTATATTTATAGGATGTTATATCGTTGCCATGGAGAGACAGGCACGCTCTGCCTCCATGCCTCTGCTGTTTCCCAAGAGACAGCAGAAACCCATATTCTTATCCATGGCTGTGCTGAGCACCTGAAATGTCAGGCTTCTTAGCATCTTGAACAAGAGCAGCTTTGATAGTAAACCTCACTGCCTTCCTTGAAAGTGCAGAGGCACGGTTCGCTTCGCCGTCCGTCATGCTAAATAAACTCAGACTCCCTGTGCTAGATCAGAAACTTGGGCTGGCCTGGTGGCGAAGAGACCCTGGGAGCAGGAAGAGCCAAGTGGCCTCTTGCTGGTCACTTTAGAACAGGTCAGCAACCTTTTTCAGCCGTGGGCCGGTCCACTGTCCCTCAGACCATGTGGTGGGCTGGACTATATTTTGGAAAAAAAATATGAACAAATTCCTATGCCCCACAAATAACCCAGAGATGCACTTTAAATAAAAGGACACATTCTACTCATGTAAAAACACGCTGATTCCCGGACCGTCCGCAGGCCAGATTTAGAAGGCGATTGGGCCGCATCCAGCCCCTGGGCCTTAGGTTGCCTACCCCTGCTTTAGAAACTCATACCCGTTGCTTGTCTGCGGCTTCAATGCCAGGGCTGATCTGCTAATTAGTAGTCTCCGAAGCGCAATACAGAACAGACTATATGAATCTGAGCTGCCGTTGCATAGCCACAGTAGATAATTAAGCAGGGGAAGAGTTGGTAAATATTATCCCTCTAGGGTTGAGGGGGAAATGTTAGCTGCTATGCGTGTCAGTGAAAGAAGCAAGATTATTAATGTAGCATGCCTCAGTAGTAATGCAAACTGCGCTAGAGACTTGGGTTTCGTACTTCTAATGGCTCACGGCCCCGGCGCTCTCAACTGATACTTCCTTTTGGTTTGTTGCACCTTGGGTGGGCAAGATGGTTTCTTCATATAACAATAGCTGCCTGCTGTGGATTTCAGTTTCAGGTGAGGTTAGTTGAGCTTGTGGCTGAGGGGGCTGCCTTATGAAAGTCAGAAGTGGTGGACATTCAAGCTGCTGTGCACATCGATCCAGTAGAATGACGAGAGTCTATGCTTTGTGCAAATTAGCAGTCGGGAAAGAAGTCCAAAGACTATATATGATTCTCTAAAATGTTTACTAAATTCATATCCTGTCCTTCCTCCCAAAGGGGCCCAGGGCAGCAAACACATTCATGATTTTAAAATGCACAATAAAAAAATGCTTAGAAGCTCTTTATGACATCTTAAAAGATGCACAATGAAATTTTTAAAACAATTTTTAAAACAGATGTAACCGGATTGTAACCAGACATCATCGCTGTACTCTTTTCACATCAACAGGCAGAGAGTTCCAGAGCACATTAGTGTCAATTGATGGTTGCCACACTGGTGTGCAGAGAGCAGGAGTCATATCATAGAAACATAAGAAGCTGCCATATCCTGGGCCAGCTCACACATGTGTGCCCAAGACTCACATGTGCGTTCTCTGTCTCTTCTACGTTCATGGAAATCGCAAGTTCTCTGAGTACATCTGACTAGGCAAACGACGGTTTTCACTTACCCTCCCAAACAAACTTGAAAACCGCAATTTGAAGTGGCCCCACTAGAGAGATGGGCAGAGTTAAGGGGATCGAGTGGTCTTTAGCGATTACAGTCATGAATGCTTATAATCCTCATACAGTCCGGTTTGAATAGCTTAACATTTCTTCTCCTATTTTTGGATTTGGAAGAAATTAGCCCCTCTCCTGTTTAGTGTTTGTCCGGGTTACTAGCAGTGTGGGTGGCTAACAGATGTCAGAGCACACACCCAGGAAAATCTGAGTCAACAATGCAGCTGCCTGCATAAAATCTTCTGGCGATGTCTTTCCATGTGCCGATGCTGCATGATCCAAACAGCATGCGCAGGGCCTCATGGCGTTTTTACATACAAAGATGATGAAATCAGACGGCAGCTTTAGCACATCTTGCATTTGTTCGCTTGGCTCGGCTTGGAAACGACTAAATCTTCTCTCTGTTTCAGGGGGAGAAACGGCACCTGATTTAAGTTTCCTGCCTGCGCCAGCAAAGATGTCTACGATTGTACCATCTGCCAGTATAGACGACCAAAGCTTCAGTTCTGTCCACGGCAGTGCAGATTCGTCAGGCGCAGATACGTTTTGAAGTGTGCATGTGTATTAGTGACACAGACGCATGAGCTGGGAAAGGGGAGCGTTGGCAGCTGTTTGTGCGGAAACAATACACGGTGCAGAAATTGCATCAACCACATGTTTTGACATCGAATTAATTGGCTTGCCTTTCATCACTAGAAACTTTTTATACGTGTGTGTTTCTTACATGTGAAATATGTACACTATTTTTTTAACAAATTAAATATTTTATTTTTAAAAATGAATTTCAGCCTTGCTGGGTATCTTACAAGCCCTATGTTTCCTTTCCTTTCCTTTTTTTGACTTGTTGTTGCATGTTTATAATAATAATAATAATTTTATTATGTATATGCCACCCATCTGACTAGGTTGCCCCGGCTGCTCTGGGTGGCTTCCAGCGATAGAAGACAATAAAATATTAAAAACAACAACAACAATAAAACCTTTAAAATTCACTATACGGGGCTGTTTGGAAGGGCAAGGGGGATCAGGCCATTCGGGGGAATGTAGGACCAAAGCAGGCCATTCGTTCCTCTAGCTCAGTATAACCTACACTGATTGGTAGCAGTTATGCAGGATTTGACACATAGGCCTTCTCCAGCCATACCTGAAGAAGCCTGAATTTGAACCTGGGACCTTCAGCGTGCAAATCATGTCATCTGCCACTGAGTTATGACCCTTCCCTGCAGTTGGCGCCAGAAAGGTTTCTTTGTTCTGCCAAGGCGGTAGGTAAGCACTAGTTCCACAGCTTGAGAGCCTTTGCACAAGGAGTCCACATTGGGTCTCCCTAACCTGGAAAGGGCAGGATGTGTAAATCCCACGAGTTCTTTCTTACTGCCTCCAAAAACAATGCAGGTTTTTTGGGAAAAATTGTCCTTGCTCATTAATCTTCCAAAGGGAGTAGTACACACAGCAGCAGGTGTATTGAAGCTGTGGGGAGCACCTGCTGACTCGTGCTGGAGCAGCACTGGAGGGTTTGAAGACTGGAGTCTGTCCATATTTTTGTTGTTTAGTTGTTTAGTCATGTCCGACTCTTCGTGACCCCCTGGACCAGAGCATGCCAGGCACTCCTGTCTTCCACTGCCTCCCGCAGTTTGGTCAAACTCATGCTGGTAGCTTCGAGAACACTGTCCCACCATCTCGTCCTCTGTCGTCCCCTTCTCCTTGTGCCCTCCATCTTTCCCAACATCAGGGTCTTTTCCAGGGAGTCTTCTCTTCTCATGAGGTTGCCAAAGTATTGGAGCCTCAGCTTCACGATCTGTCCTTCCAGTGAGCACTCCGGACTGATTTCCTTCAGAATGGAGAGGTTTGATCTTCTAAAGGTCCATTAGAGATGTGCACTTACTACAAGATTCGGTTTAGGCTCCAGTTGGGCACATCAGAAAGGATCCTGCTTTCTTCCTAAGTGCTTTTGGAGGCTGCCTGATTTGGCTGAAGATCCACATCTGCAGAATTGGATGAAAATTGCAGGCATGTTAGGGTGAAGCCAGCCAAATTTTGGAATGGGAGCTGCAGCAATTTTTCCACAAGGGCAGTCTTTACAGTTTGGGATGGGAATAATAATAATAATAATAATGGCATCACTTAATCTCCCCAAGTGTTTTGTGGGCAATTGTACTGAAAACGGAGACATCAGAGAAGTGTGTCCCTAGGTAGGAAACCTGTCAAATTACAAACAGGCCCAGGAAATTTTGTGCTAGACAATTTTTAAGTTCATTGGAGGGTGGTGAGTGCACAAAAAGCAATTTGCTCCCCTCCCTGTGGTTTTGCAGGCAACAATTTTATTATGGAAAGGGCACACATCATAGAGGTGCCCTGAAGATAGTAAGCTGTGAAACGTCAGAAGGATGCCCAGAATTTCCCAAGCAAGCATGTCTAGAATTAGCAAAGAGCAGAGTACAGAGAACAGGAAAAAAACGAGGTGATCTTTCCCTGACAGCATCGTGATCAGAAAGCTGCTAAAATCATTCCCACCTTGGGATTGGCCATGCTGAAGCATGGGCAAGAAATTTATTAAATAAGTGAATTTAAAAATGAGAAACTTTTGAAACAAAGCTGCTGTAATTTCTGGATTTAAAATTTATTTGTGTATTTTACGCGTGTGTGTATATCTATATACACAAACATGTAAAATACACACACATACAATTATCATATTTTATTGGTTTAAAATCCTTAACACATCAAACTAAATACCTAGTCTCAGTGACAGCAACTTTGTACATATTTAAACACCATCAAATAAATCAAACATGAAAAAGTAATATATCTAAAAATGCACAGCTCTCTGGTAGCAGTTTCCAGTGTTATGTATGTACACTTAGAATAACCTTAGGGCTTGGGTGATATTACACTCTTAACACAAACATAGTAAATCAACCCTCAATGTCAAAAACCCTGCTCTCTGAGCACAGTAATTACAAAAGGACAACATAAACGCTGCTGGCAAGAGGCGGGGGAGACAATTAAGGCAGGAGTAAGAAACGAGAAACGATGGAGAGAGGAGTCAGCGAGTGAGTTATGGAGCAGGCTGCTCCATAAGAATTGGAATAATTCTCTTTCCGAAGCAACTGGATGTCGCCAAAGTGCTGAACAATAACAGACCAAAAGACAACATTCCATAACTAAAAATTAATAAGGAACTGGTGCTACCATGAAATTATTATGAAAAGGGACTTTCCCTTGATATTACAAAAATATTGGTTTTGTGACGACCTTAGTTCTAACATGCCTATGGTTTGTTAGATTACCGTCAGGGCTTGGAATCATTTCATTCAGTTGAACAAAGCTCAGCTTAGAACTAGCTCCTTTTAAAAGTGAGCTGCTCGTTTTATGGAAGGCAGAAGCCATTTTGGGAAGGAAGCAGGATACGAATGAATGACAGTGAAATGCCATCATTTTGTTAGCCATTCAGGGATGACCCTTTACCAGTTTTCCAATTCACTTTTCTGGTTGCCTCCAACACGGAGAACAAAAGAGTCTTTGTCTTTAAAAAATGACATCCAAATACGTAGAGAGACATAAACTGGAGAGAATCTTACATTATCCTATACCTATAATATATATTACATTCCTGTAATGGTGTATTACTGGGACATGGGTGGCACTGTGGGTTAAACCACAGAGCCTAGGATTTGCTGATCAGAAGGTCGGCGGTTCGAATCGGTCGAACCGCCAATTCGGTCCCAGCTCCTGCCAACCTAGCACTTCGAAAGCACGTCAAAGTGCAAGTAGATAAATAGGTACCGCTCTGGCGGGAAGGTAAACGGCGTTTCCGTGCGCTGCTCTGGTTCGCCAGAAGCGGCTTAGTCATGCTGGCCACATGACCCGGAAGCTGTACGCCGGCTCCCTCGGCCAATAAAGCGAGATGAGCGCCGCAACCCCAGAGTCGTCTGCGACTGGACCTAATGGTCAGGGGTCCCTTTACCTTTAATGGTGTATTGCTGGAAAAAAATAGTCGTCTTGGACAAGCTATTTCCCCATCATTAATCTTCCTGCTGACCTTCCAGAATTGCCCAGAACATAGCTTGGAAACCACTGGGTTAGCAACATCACATGGGGTCGGTTGAGGGCAATGTTATGAAGACAGCCCATGTGATCCAACCACATGATTTCACTATTTCACATAATCTTAGGCAGTGCTTTCTTCTGGGGGTGCGCAGGGGTGCGCATACCCTTTAAATTTTTGTGAATTTTTGTACTTTTGTCCATTTACTGTATTTATTTTCCCCAATTTGAACTATAAAAAGGTGATTTTCTTGAGTCAAAATGAGAGTATCCCTAAACATTTTTTTAAGGAAAAAAAGCACAGATCTTAGGGAAGTGTGGGCCGCAGGCATAGGAGAGCATCAGCCCCATTGTTGTGTGGGTCTAGGAGACTGTGCTGACCTGGCAATCTATCACCTATGACTGAAACTGGCTTCTAGATCTGTAAGACACAGAACAGCTGTGGGGCCAGTTGTGTACTGCAGGCTTCACCAACTTTGTGCCCTCCAGATGTTTGGGCACCAGGTTGGCAGTGGCCAGTGCATCCACTGCATTCCATTTACCGCAAGGTAAATACTTGCCCAAATGGAAACTGGGTGGTAGACGGATGCTACAGAAAATATACAACAATCATCGACATCTGCTCTCCAGATGCTAAATTTGCATAGTTGGTCTTGCAGGGAACAACTCTCCCTGCTATGGTGTCTCCTTTTTGTTATTGTTGATGTACGATGTTTTCGCTGCTCTGCTCCGCCTGCTGCAAAAAAGGACAAAAGGGGGCAAGGAATAAAAGCAGCTCCCATGAAACGAACGTGGTAGAGAGCATCCATCATCATCTCACACACACAAAAGTAAATAAATAAAAATATGAAGTCCCCACAGCATTCCTGAAAGGGAAGGGATTTCAGTTGGATAATGAGAAAACCACGTTGTTGTTGTTGAAAAACCTTTAGCTCAATTCATGTGTGTGCGTTCTAGTAAGCAGGAATCAAAGAGCCAAAAGGGATTTTTAAAAAAAAATTAAAAAATTAAGACTGTAATTTAATAGGGGAAGGCATGTGTATGTTTTTTACTTAGTTTGCTTTTTATCTTTTTAAACTATTCATAATTTTTTTTCATTTCACAAGACATGTTGTTAATGTTCCAATAGGGGAGAAGAAGCTTCTTCGAGAGTGGGGAACCTCTGGGTCTCCAGCTGTTTTTGGACTACAACTCCCATCATCCCCAGCTAGCAGAACCGGTGGTCAGGGATGATGGGAATTGCACTTCCAGCTTGACACACTCTCCCCCAGCCACACACACACACCCCGTCCCACATCTGAGCAACATGGAATGATGGCCAGCGATGCATTCTCAAAAGGGAAAGCTTGGCTGCATAGGTTTGGACTTGATTCTGGCGACATATACAGGGCAGGGAGGGACCTAATTTCGCTGGGTCAAATATAAAGGTAAAGGGACCTCTGACCATTAGGTCCAGTCGTGGCCAACTCTGGGGTTGCGGCGCTCATCTCGCTTTATTGGCCGAGGGAGCCAGCATACAGCTTCCAGGTCATGTGGCCAGCATGACTAAGCTGCTTCTGGCAAACCAGAGCAGCACACGGAAATGCCGTTTACCTTCCCGCCAGAGTGGTACCTATTTATCTACTTGCACTTTGACGTGCTTTCAAACCGCTAGGTTAGCAGGAGCAGGGACCGAGCAACGGGAGCTCACCCCGTCGTGGGGATTCGAACCGCCGACCTTCTGATCGGCAAGTCCTAG